TAAATGTTTTCAATTCGATGCCTAGACACATCAAGCGTGCAACTACACTTACATAATTCAAGAGACGCTGCATTTCACATGTAAAAGCTGTTTATTGAGCAGTTAATTTTTTATGAATGGATAAATCATGTATCTTGACAAAGTTATCTCTAACGGATTATTTTGTATGGAGACTGTCATAAAGACATTTTAGTAATTTGTGTAGCATATACAAAAAACTACATTGTTTGCCTCGATGGTGATGATGGATTTTTAGTTTTTTGATTTTGTAGTAGTAATAGTAAAAATAGCTTTGAGTAGTCTACAATGGTTTGAGCCTCGCGCGCGGAATACAGGTATAAATGACTAATACGTGGAAATTGTGGCAAAAGCCTTGAATTAGTAAAGGGTTGGCTGGAAGTCGTTTCCTTGGATATAGTCCTGGCACTGCGGAAGCTTAAACGTGTAAATCCCAGGTCACGTGTAAATGGAAGTATTGTCGAGGACTATACTTGGACTTTTGATAACTAGTTACACCTTTGAATGTTTTTGGTTGATGCCTATAACATATTTAACAGGACATTTATATCTGTAATTGTAACCAGCTCGATTTTGTTTGCAAACCTGGTTAAAATGTTTATATTTAATTATCTTAAAGATAACTCGTCCAGCTCAAACCTTTGTAGGGGTAAGAGGTGGGACCATCGTCATCATAGTTTTGTAGATCAAATAATGACAATCATTGGAATAGGTACCTTGTAATTGCAAACCGCGGTCCATAACTTTTAATGGCATATTAGAACAGTCAGAATAAGTAATTTCATCTAAATGTAATGATTATATTGTCGACAATGTTTTGATTAATCAATCCATTGAATTGGTCGATGAACTTGACGAAATAAAACAGACAGTTAATAGTAGTTGTAGATTTGAAGGTTTTCACCCAATTACAATAGATAAACTTAGAGTTATTTGTTTTACATTAGGAAAATCGCCTGGAGTAGATAATGTTAATGCTAGAGTTATTCAAGATTGCTTTCATGTCATTGGCCACATCTTGCTGGACCTTATAAATGAATCATTGCAAACTGGGCATGTGTCACAAATTTGGAAGGAATCCTAAGTGGTTCCTATTCAAAAAGTTGCTGGAACGATTAAAGCCAAAGAGTTTCGTTCCATCAACATGTTGCACATATAAGAGAACATTTTAGAACTCGTTGTTAAAGGCCAGCTGTTGGAGTATTTAAATAGTAATAGTTTGTTGATACCAGAACAATCGGGATATCGGGAAGGTCATTCTTGTGAAACCGCGTTGAATTTGGTATTTGTGAAGGGGAAAAATAAGTTGGAGTGTAAAGATCCGATTGTTGCTGTTTTCTTGAATCTTAAAACGCTTTTGAAACACTTTATATGCCCTTATTGTTAAGATTAATCAAGCACTTTGGAATTACGAGTACTGCATATAAATTGTTTGAAAGCTATTTGACTGACAGAACTCAACGGACTGTTTTTAATGATTCTGTTTCCAGTCCCGTGAGGAATAACCTTGGAGTGCCCCAGGGAAGTGTATTAGGGCTCCTGTTATTTATTATGTATATTAATGATTTGCGACGTGGTTTACGAATTTATGACATTAATCTTTTTGCAGATGATACTGTGTTATTCATTGCAGCTAAGGATTTAGATGAAGCCGTTTTACACTTGAATGAAGATTTTCCTTCTCTAGTAGATGGTTGAAGTATAAGCAGTTGAAATTGAATACAAGTAAAACTAAAATTATGGTAATTTCGCGAAATTGATTAAATGAGAACGTCTCTGTTGTAATTGATGATGAGACTATTGATCGCGTTCGGGAGATTAAATATCTTGGCGTGATTATTGATGACAAACTTAAGTTCAATTCTTACATTGACAATGACACCAAGAAAATTGCCAAGAAGTATGGAATTCTATTTCAACTGAAGAACGATTTAACTATTTCCAGTTAAATACAGCTAGGGTTTTTGATCTAATTTCCGTCCTACTAAGCACAACCCGCGCTTTACCTCCCTTTGCTGAACGAGTTTTAACAAAAAATGTAATATTTCTGTCAAACATGACTTGCAAATTTATTCACCTTTCCATACGTACCGTTGGATTTGATAAAGAGTCACAAATTGTTGAGATATTGTCTAAAATCTAACACTGCTTCTTGATTCTAAATTCGTTCTACGAGTTTCAATTCCGTCCTAACGCATTGAAACGCCATTAGATTTTCATCGTCCTACGGATAAACGTAGAAAAAGGGGATTCGCTAGGAGCGCTTCTTTTGTTTTGAGAACAATGAGCGTAAATATTCATGGAATGCGCTCTAACAGGATTTATGTTGTAGCTAATGAGCTAGCGCATCGGAACAAACCTATAATTGATTTGTGCACGTTGAAATCATTGATATTATTGATCTTTTCTGATCGATAGAACGGAAATGGGCGATTACGACGAAGTAGCGCTCTACCCTATACAAATCAATCATCTATCCTCATCTAGATTTTTGCCCTTCCATTTTATTTTTGGTCAATGCAACACAAATATCGAGATTACAGCACTTGCAGAGTAAAATAATGCGTTTGATTTTGAGATGTAATAGATTCACTTCCTCAACTTTGATGCTAGACGACCTACAATAGTTGTCGGTGAAGCAAAGAATTGTATATTTGACTATGGTGTACATTTTTAAAGTAGTTTTGAAAGAGGAAGTGACTTTCATAGATATAATACTAGAAACGCGGCTGAAATAAGAACACCACATTTCTTGACTTGTGCTTCACAACATTCATTTTATTATAAAGGAATAAATGTTTTGAATTCGATGCCTAGACATATAAAACGTTCAGCAACACTTACAGAATTTAAAAGACACTGCATTTCACATGTTAAATCTGTCGTTTAAACAGTTATTTTTTCATGAATTAACAAATTATGTATCTTGACGAAGTTATCTCTATCGGATTATTTTTTATGGATAGCTGTTATAATGACTTTTTAATAATTATTTTTGTACTGCAAAAACTATTTTTGTTCGTCACGATGGTGATGATTGATATTTTATATTTGTTTTAATAGAAGTAGCTTAATCAAAAATGGTAGTCTGCAAAGGTTTGAGCCTCACGCGCGTATTACGAATATAGAGGACTGAATTTAAAATTTGACAAAAAATAAAAAATAAATGCAATTTTGAAGCTTATTTCGAAGATACCTTGAGTTAGTAGTAAGTTTTCTGGTAAATGTTGGGGGTTTGTGAGCATTCCTGACATTGATGAAAATTATGATAGCATCAGATTGCGGGGTTGCTAGTGTAATAGGTGCTTTGTTGATTGTTTGTTAACTCTTGATCGCTTGTAATACCTATGAACATTTTAGGTGGATAAAACGGCGAACTAAGAAACCTGGTTAAATTGTCATATTTAATTATCTTAAAGATAAATCGTCCAGCTCAAACCTTTGTGGTGGTAAGAGGTGGGACCATCATCATAATCAGTAAAGAAAAAAAAAAAACTACATAGCAAAAAATTCTGAATTCTACTGGTGATGTAAACATCCATGCTTGAAAACGTACATGCATGAAACTTCCTTTTCACGTAAACTAGCAACTTGCAAGAAATATTGCTTACAAAGATGTACGGTTGTATACAATTTATGGAATATCTCATCATGAGATTCTCATGACATGTCTCATAAATTTAAACGATTTATAATGTAAACTTAAATGATATATAACGCTCCATATATGTGCATCATAATAACATAAATTTACACTACTTTTTCGAACTCTGTAATTCAACTTATTTCTAACGGCGTATTATACCTGTTTTACCCAAGGTTGCAAAGACTCATTTCAGCTAAAACAATGTTTATCTAAATTATGAAATAATTAGATGCCATGATCAAATTTTGAATTGGTAGGATACAAGGAGAGGTTGCAAAGAATGTGTTTGACATATTAAACCTGTTTATTTCACTTCATGAGAGTCACAATCAGCGATTTTTCGCAAACTCACTCACTCACTCACTCACTCACTCAGCGATCAGCAAATCGCTGATTGTGACTCATAGAAAGCAAAATTTACAGGTTTTACCTCTTCTTGTAAGTTACAAGTAAAACATGCCATCATACTATCTTTTGGTTTTATTATTCCGAAAAACATTATTTTAGCTGAAATGAGTCTTTGCAACCCTGGTTTTACCCTATCACATCGAAATAAACTCTAACCCGCTCAGTTTGATCGAAGGTACAGTATTCATAATGATGTAATACAGATTTGCAGATGTTTATTCCGACCTGGGGATGTTCATAAACTACGTAGACCGATTTTGAAAGGTTTTTGATCCCCTCCTTCCGCGTAGGCAATTGTCTATATATACATTTTATTTGTATTAATACCAGAAATTTCATCAAAATTTGCTATGACTCGCGAACACCCCTCCCCCTAAAGTGCCTAGTAGCTTATGATCAGTCCTCAGGCTCATCCGCCATTACTCCCCCCCGCCAGAGGGGCCCCACCTCAACCGTGATTGTAATCGTATTAATCATCCCATTCAGAATTCCTCCAATTTTGTGCCAAAGTGATCTTCACGGTTGATCGCGCTCGCGTGTCGTGTATTGATTCGAATGATATAAACAAACCACTGTGGCACCTATTTTTACCATAAGTAGCTCTGTATTGCTAGCTTCCGAAACCTCCCATAGGGCGACAACGGGGCCGTCTACCTGGCAGCAGCAGCGTTCTATACTTTGGCACCGTTCCAACCTCGTTAAACCGTACTCTGTTCTGCGGACGGTGGTGATTCAGCTGCGAACATGTGATTGGCGGTGCTCTCAACCGCTGTAAACAAACTGGTCGTTGCTATCGTAATGTTTACCTGCACTAATCGATCTATAGTTACATACACAGCGCTATACCAAATCATCGCGATTCTAAACGATAGCGCGAAATCTAGAAAAGAGCAGCGGGTGTGTTCGTTTCGTAAGGGAACCAAAACAAAATCCCAGCCCGGTAGCAGCGCGGACCACGAGCCATATAGTCGAACCGAAGCTCTCGTCCGTAACAGTTCAAGTTCAGCAGGCCAGCAGCAGACAGCAGGTACCAACCAACGCCCTCCCTTGCAAGACGCTCAATCTGCGGGAACGCGAAACAGTTGATTCCGTATTCGCGCGCGAATCGTGGCAAGTTCAAAAGCATTCTAGCTCTCAGCTGATTCGGAAGTACTTTCAAACCGCACTCGGTCTGTCGGTCTTTGGGAGTAACTTTCAGTTTCAGTTTCCTTTTCGTAGTGCGCTCTCGCCGAAAAGGTAAGAGTGAAAGTGGTGAAAAGTGCGGAAAAGTGACTAGTTTCAGACAAGTAGTTTTCGGGATTTGAATTGCTGCGCAATAAAAAGTGAATCTTGCTTTTTCGAACTAACCAACAGGGGTGTGCATGGGCGCTGGGATCGAAGAGAGTGGCACATAAATCGAAACGTGTGTTTTTCAAGTATCGATGAAATATGAAAATGTTTGGCGGCATCTGCCAAAATGGGAAAGTCATGGATTTAATGAACGGTTGAGCAGATGTCAACTCCAGATATTCAAATAGTATTGTAAAATCATCAACCATTATCAGTATAACAAAAGTATTGCTAAATGATACAACCAAGAAGTATTCAATTATGCAACAGATTTTGTAATAGTTGACATGTTAATTAGATCGGATGAAATTAAAACTTAATAAATCATTAATTTGCAGTAATCATGTGAGCTTATACAATGTAGTATAATTTTAATTATTTTCTGGTAAAGTAATTTTTAGCTGAAAATTGCCTAGAAAAATCTCAGATCTCTGATCATGTCTTTCTTAGGAAGGGAAGTTAGTTAGTTTTCTTTATTCAAGATGCTTTCAGCCATTGATGAAAGGAAGTAAATCCGTTGGTCCGGGCAAATGTGCTCATGGGATCGATATCTAGGGTCGAGGTGTGGAGTCATCTCCCGGGCGCCACTCGCTTGCGGAACAAACACCAACGGAAACTTAATAGTCGTATGTGCATCCAGTGATAGTAGACTGAAGGATAATAGTTCAGAGGACATCGTGGACAGGTTCTGGGGATTGTATTTTCTTGAAGAATCAACAGGACTACATTGGTGGGCTTTAAGGATTTCCAATATACTTTGGTAGATGGTACACAGATATTGAAGGTAGATCTCGAGCATTTCAATAAAAATTTCAGAAATCTTCGTTAGCAAGTTACATTAATTTCCATGGAATATATAAGGTTAAACTTGACTTGACTTGGATCTTCTAAAAATTGCTGATTTAAATTGTTCTGTTCATTACTTCTAGGTTGTCTGAATATTTTCATAGCAGCCGTAGATTTTAAAAATTATTTTATCGGTCTCCTTAAATTTCACTAAACCTGCCACAGGTTCTAGAAGTAAACTAGATTTTTGTCCCCAATTATTACCCAGAGAAAGCGTCACTTCTGGGTATGCATTAAATGTAAAACAAGTTTGGTACTGCTGCGATCACAGGTAGTACAAAAAAAATCATATCTACCGATGTCTATTGCAATGATAAGAATACTAACAAACACAATCATGATCAGTATACAACCGAGATCATGAATTATGATTTTTTGTAACACATCATGATCAGCAACAAAAACAACAACGCACTGATATTATAGCAATCACTGTGTAATATATTTCGAAATCCCGATCATCTACAAAGTTACTGTCAGCAGCAAAGTTGTTCAGATAATAAAGGCCTTACAAATGGTGGCCAGATAAGTTCAACATTCTGTCTGCATGTGGCACTAAAGGTTGAACTCGAAAACATTCGGATACGAAAATCTTGTTGGGGTTTAAAAATGCGTTTTATTTTTCATAGTTCAATGTAACAACCGTACATTACTAGGTATAATGCTCATTGTAAGACCATTGCTCCAGTCTTCCTTCTTTCCATGAACCATTGCTCGAACTTTTATTGGTACACGGCCTATCATCTTTTGCACGAGCTCTGTACCCAAATTACATTTCCGCTTGAAATCCTTCAGGTCGATTGCAGTTTCACCCTTTTTCTTCAGTATGTGCTTCACAATTCATCAGTATTCATCAATTGGCTTTAGTTAAAATATATTTTAGTTTTAGTTTTAGTTAGTATTAGTTAGTATTGGCGAGATTGATCTCCTTGGGGACCAATGTGACGTAATTTTCGCTGTACCACTGTTTGGATGAATTTGAGTAGTGGCAGCTTATAAAGTTCGGCCAGAATAGGCAATCCCCCTCATACTGCTCCAGAAAAGGTAGTAGTCTCTTTCGTAGGCACTCCTCTTGCTAAATTTGCTGGTTCATGGTTCCAGAAGTAACGAAAGTTTCGCTTTTCAGCCCACAACTGCAGATGTCTTGCCAGAAAAGGAATTTTTTGGGGAATTTAGACTTCTTTTTGATTTAACATTCTTCCGGGGCACGTGCTTGCTCCGGTGAAGCCACAAATAAACTTATCCTGATATCCAATGCCTACTGTGGTTCTATTCAATCTTAGCTTGATCAGTGAAATTTTGAAATAATTTACTCAAAACTGCCTAAATGGCAGTGTTTTTAAGGTGTTCGGGTTTTTTCGTGTTCAACCTTTAGTGTGCATGTGAACTCCTTTATCTCGAGATCTTGACCAGATGGTAGTTGCTGTTTTGGAAAACGTCAAAACCTTTCAATTGGTGAGTAGATTAATTCAGAATTCTACCACTATGTGGCGCAAGTATGCATGTAATATTTCAAAGTGTGCTATATCTCGAGATCGAGAGATCTAGCATTTTGCTGAATGTGGCAAAGTTGTTCAGATAGACGAAACTTTTGAAGAGTTAGTATATTAGTTCAGGAATCTTCTACTAGGTGGCTCTAGTTTACATGTGAATACACAAAGCGTGCTATATCTCGAAATCCTGACCATCTGATACACATTATACACAAAATTAAGTTTGTACAAGACCTTCGTTGCCTGATTAACTTTCTAAGACAGCAATTTCCTGATTGGTCAGAGATGTAGCATTTACTGGAAGTTCACATGGTGGCAGAATTCTGAATCAATAAAACCACAAATTGAAAGGCCTTGATTATCTGAAAAACTTTGCTGCAGAAAGCAACGTCCTAGATGGTCGGTATTTTTAGATATACCGTAAGATGGGTTGACGTAGGGCCTAGAGGTTGACATTCGGCCAAAATTGAAAAAATGTTGAGGCAAATATCTTGAATATTCTGAAAATGATGGCAAGAATATGTTTCTTGTACTCCTGGAGTTAAGTGTAGATAACATTAACTACTTGTTTTATGTAAATAGCGCTGTAAAGTTAAGTATCATAATTAGTAGCAGAAACACGTTTTAAACAATGAACACAGGCAGACAAATGTTGGAACACACTTTTATGAGGATGGACGAGGGTTAGAAGCAATATTTTGCCATACATTCCAAGTAAATTGTGATCATAGCCAAGTATACTCTTAACAGCTACGTTTCATTTACATATTTTAAGATATTTTATCCAAGTTTATGTGTTGGAGCATCACCCCACATAAAGATTTACATTGGTCTAATTTTTAATTAGTTTTAGTAAAATGAGATATCAATTTCCATCAACCATTTCCATCACAGTCGTAAATATATTTAAATTGTTTTCCTTGCTAAAATGTGAATGTTTTTAAGGTAGGGAACGAAATTTTTTGATTGTTATTACACGGTATTACACAATGAGTATTATAATATCAGTGGATTATAGTTTTTGTTGCTGATCATGTCCTCCATGTAGAAGGCCTTGGTTCTGAAAACTTTGTCGAAAACTCCAACTTCTGATGACGTTGAAATTTCATTTACACACTATTTAGCACCACGTAGTGACGGAATTTGGAAATAATTTTCTCTCCATTCGAAAGGTTTTCTTATCACAATTTGTCGAAGACAGCAACTTATCATCTGTTCAGTATCTTGAGATATAGTACATCCTGAAAATTTTGCACAAATACTAGCACTGTATAGTGATTGTATTTTATACAAATATCTCCACCATCCAAACGACATCATCTACCTGATTATCTTTGCCAAAGACTGCTAGCCTCTAAATGGTCCGAATTTCGAGATAAGCACCTTTCGATCGCCTGATATGGGGAATTTTCAGCGACATCACTAATGGTTCTGAGCATGATGTTTGACAAAAAAAAAATAATCGCATTATCGTTAACCAGTGTTGTAAAAGTTCACCAAAACTTACTATGACTGGCGAACTTTTCCCTTGGTGAACTTCGTGAAATATCGCGTTAACAGAGTTTTGCCTTGTTATTTTTTTGTTAGTACTGATTATGAGTGTAACAAAAACCAAAATAGCATTATCTTTATTCGAATCGATGATTTTTATTCCCTGCCGATGATATGCGTGCCGAATGAAAAAAAAAAACAGACCGGATAAGATAATAATAAAAAGGAATGTTCAAGACGTGAGATAGCGCTATGGATAAATTAGATAGGGATAATAATGCGACGACCCCCTTTGTATTACCCTGTTGATGTCTGGACTTGAATTATCTGGAATAACTTTAACTACCAAGAACTGCCAAATCAAGGTCACGGCTTGTCATAAAGAAGTTGAAAATACTTTTTAATGACTTACGTAAAGAATCAATAATACTGTAATATACGTCATTTAATACATTTATATAACCTAAAAAGCGCAAGACGTTGGAAACATCATTAAAACCAGCGGCAAAAAAAAACAATTGAAAAAACTTGAGCATGGGATTCGATCACTGGTGCTTGGCGTCGTAGACCTATTGCTTCCTAACTAGACCAACTCCGCTTGATGAGAGTTTTGTTATAAGCATCTATCATGTTCTTGCCAATGGCATAACAATAATATTCTCGTTCAACACGCTTTCGATCCATCATAAAGATGTTTTGTTAGCAGCAAAGCGTACATCTAATTGACAGAGTGTTATTTTAAAGTATTTTCAACTCCTTATAAGACAACCTGCACATTTTCAGTTGTATTAATTTATGAGATGTCATAAACAAGTGTTTTCAACTTTCTTTATAACAAACCTCCGAATACATCATAAGAAACTGTCAATCACTGCGTGAAGAGACAGTATGGCTCAATGGCACCGTCAATGTTTACGTCAATCTGGTAAGTTCAGAATCTCGTCAAGAACTTTATAAATTCAACTAAGATTGATTTTGTATACGTCAACTTTTATAGTGGTATTAAAACAGTAAGATGCATGTTTGAAAAACATTTAAACATAAAAGCAAAAGAGTTTTCTGTTATTTTGGCAAATG